TCTTCCTCTCTCCTCTCTCCTATTCTCTTCATCTCACCGCCCTCTCTCTCTCTCCTGATCGTTTTTTTCTTCTCTCTCTTCTCTCGACGGGGACAGCTCTCTCTCTCTCCCGGTCTCTCTCTCTCTCCTCTACTCACCTCCCTCCTCCCTCCTCCCCCCTCCTCCCCTCGCCTCCCTCCCTTCTCATCTCTCTCTCTCTCGCTCTCTCTCTTCTCCTTCTCTCTCTCTCTCTCGTCTCTCTCTCGGCTCGTCTCTCTCTCGCTCCTTTCTCTCGTCTCTCTTCTCTCTCTCTCTGCTCTCTTCTCTCTCTCACCTCTTCTCGTCTCTCTCTCTCTCTCCCTCGGCTTTCTTCTTTCTCTCTCTTCGACTCTCTCTCTCTCTCTCTCTCTCTCCTTCTCTCTCTCCTCCTCTCTCTCTCTCTCTCTCTCTCTATCTCTCTCTCTCTCTCTCTCTCTCTCCTCTCTTCTTCCATCTCTCTCGCTCTCTCTCTATCTCTCTGCTCTCTCTCCTCTACTCTCTCTCTTCTCCTCTCTCTCTTCTCTCTCTCTCTCTAATACTTCGGTGCTACGGGTGGCGTGCTGAGGCACACCGCCATGCATCTTAGCGCTTGTGGCATGTAAACCAATTGATTTGTTTGTGTGGCACCATATATTAATTGTATATGATGGTTCTGACGTGCACGGATGGGGAGAGAGGGGATGCGGGAGAGGGGCGAGGAGAGTAGAAAGAAGAGAGGAGGAGCAGATACTCAAGAAGGCAGGAGAAGAAAGACTCGGAGAGAGGACCAGGCGGGAGCGAGCAGACGCAGCACGGAGGGGAGGACGAGCCTCCGATTGATGGGGGAGAAGACCAAGAGAGACGAGCAGACAGGCGGAGGCGATCGAGAGACGGACAGCAGAGAACAAGACTCGAGAGATAGACAGCGCGGCTAGGCACGAGAGAGACGGCGGAGCAAGAAAGGAAGAGAGATGAGACAGGGGAGGAGAGAGGACACGGCGAGGAGAGATGAAGGCGAGAAAGAACGAGCAGAGAGAGACAGCGCGGAGGGCAGGGGAGGAGAGAGAGAGGGGGAGAAGAAAGAGAGAGAGAGAGGGGAGGGGAGAGAGGGGGAGAAGAAAGAGAGAGAGAAAGGGAGAGAGAGAAGAAAGAGAGAGAGAAAGGGAGAGAGAGAAAGGGAAGGAGAGAGAGGGGGAGAAGAAAGAGAAAGAGAGAGTGAAAAGGGGGAAAAGGTAAAGATGGGAGGAGAAGAGGGAGAGATAGAGAGAGATAATGAGAGAGAGACAGAGAGGGAGGGAGGGAGGGAGGAAGCACCATACCTGAGAAGGTCAAATGGATCGCAAAACATTGTCAGCAGTGCTTAGTCTGCTTACAATTACATTAAAGCCGCACAATGCGCATCCAAACGCTAATTTCTCCAGTATTAGACTAGCAAATACTTCGTGGCATGCATAATCACACTACCTTATGACAAAATAAACTCTAGTTGCTCCCATTTCACTGCGCGTTTGCTTAAAACCCACAAGAAAGAGGTGAGAAAACTGGCATTCTGGAGCCAACGCCGACTTGTTTGCCAAACAATTTAGCCTTGAAGGGGTTAGGTGACGTCACATGTTTTTATCTTTGCTACACCCCTACTGCTGTACCGCAGCTCCGCTGCACGGTTGCTTGGGGAAACTGTCAACAACATCGGAGAATTTGAACAACATTGGAGGTATTTTCAAATACCTTTTATAAGACAACGCGCAGTGAAATTGGAGGAACTAGAGTTTATTTTGTCATAAGGTAGTGTGATTATGCATGACACGAAGTATTTGCTAGTCTAGTACTGGAGAAATGAGCGTTTGGATGCGCATTGTGTGGCTTTAATAATGGTGCCATGATGATCGCGCGTGCGTGTCCTGCAGAGATAACATAGCCTGTGTGGTTTGCCTGTAAGTTGTAACACCACCCGCTGTGGGCTAATTCTAGAATCTCTGTGACATTTCCAGTAAATGGGCGAACGCTGCAGCTTTCAGTGTTGCGAGTGCGTGTGGGGAGGGAGTGTCGAAAACACTTGGAAACTTGCAGCTCGGCTTGCAAAGGTCGTCGAGCCTGCCCTGCCGATGT